ATTGAAACTCCTGGCTTGTTGCACGACCATGCGGGACAACCTCCAATAACAAGGCAAGAATTATGTCCAAGAGAAATGTGAACCCACAACCTCAAAAAGAGACTTTGAAGTCAGAACGTGCATGACAAGCGTTTAATCGACGGAAGGGAAAATCATGAAGAGCAAAAGGTTTACTAAGATCTGATCTCTCCGATGCAGGAGCTAATTTTATTAACTCACTTTACTTGGAGCATTCTTCTGGTGGTTCATAAATTTTACTTGGATAAGCCATAAAGGGACTTACTTCAGTGAGGTTAACGACGAAAGAAACATCTGCTCGAATGCTCCAATCCCCGTACGATCTGTCCACTGCTTTTTCCCAAAATCTACCGCTGAGTCCTGGCTCATTTGTGTTCAGAGAAGAAAGAAGCTGACAAACATTATTCTGTTTCTCCACTTTGCCAAGCATCGGCACTCCTTTTGACTCCCGCCTCATAATACCTTTCTATTGCGACTTGCAAGCCAATCACATTAAAGAACACGTGATCAAATTATACTCAAATGACCTGATCTGATACAAGTGTAGATATTTACAAAATAACATCTCTGCCATATTATCCTCCAACCCTTATCAAAAGTGTTCTACCCACTGTCAAGGGCACATTAATAGCTTTATGAAGGGATAAAGCACCACTTCGTGTAAACGTATAAAGCTTTACCTTACTATCACTTATAGCCCCTCGTACCAAACTCCGCTACAGGCGCCATTCTTCCGCCTAATGTTTTGCTGTAAGCCTAATTAGAAAGTAAGTGGCTTTGAAAAAAAAGCTAGTTATTTTTCTGCAGAATTGTGGTAAGTTGTTTGTTTTAAGTTGTTACGACCATCCTTTCGGTTCGGTAAAAGTTTTGATGAGATTAAACGCATCCAATAGCGAAGCCAAGTCTGAATAACAATTTATAATCATTACCTGTTTGCACTTTGCTCAGATCATACAATATATTTTGGTGTGCTCAAAAACATTGAATTCTTCTCTTTTTGTCGAAGTGAATACAAATTGAATAGTTTTATTTACTCACTTTTTTGCCTAATTTTGCCAAATGATATCATTATTTCCCGCCGACCTAATTTGCAGCGTTTGTAAGGGTTTTAAAAAACGATTTACATTACTTTCAGATAGATTCAATATTCTTTTTGTTCCAAATTGCACAAAAAATTACTATGAACTGTTTCCGTACAGTCATTTTGTCTGCATAAGTGTGTGTATCTCAATGTCTGTCACCTATTATTTTGTCCTA